GCACACTAATTGTATTAAAGTTCCTTTCCATTAAAGGTCTAATATCTGCCTTCCAATGTGGCAGATGGCAGAACCTATTTAGAGCAGGCAGGTTTGGGGGTTCTGGGGTGCCGCTCTCCCTACTCTGTAACAATTGGAATGATCTTCATGGTGGGTCAGTTATCAGATTCCATTAGGATCACTCATGAGTTAAAAGTGCAGAAGGGATTTGTGTCAGCTCGCAGGGAACACCTACTCACAGCGGTGTTATTACAGGTAGCTCAGGTCTTTAGATTTCAAGTGGAATCTCTATGGTTTGGGTGGTTCGAGGTAGAGCCTTGCTTGAGAACTGGGGTATTGTTTACTAGATATAGCAAAGCTTTCCCATGGTGAGCATACTGGAATTTTCCAAAGTGACTTAGTTTTACACAAGAGAAAAAAAAAATTCAGGATTGATCACAGACCCAAGAACAAAATAATCTTTAAAAAGATCCAAGTACAAATAATTCTTTAAAAGAGCATCTTACTAATAAGCTACCTTTAATGATTTTATTAAAACCCCAGGAGTGTAGAAAACTTCATTGGAATAGTTATTCAAGTTTACTCTTTAAAAGAATATTTAAGGAGGGTCTCAAGATTGCAGGTGAGTTCTTGTAGTTAGCAGGTCTTGTAAGCCACTCAAGTTCCTGTAGATTTGTCACTGTTCATTAAGTCGGGCAACAAAGAAACATGATCCCTTTCAAGCCCGGAAAGAGAGGTAAGCAACATACAAACCCCAAGGCCCTCAGCACTTTTGTCTCTGAATTGTTATTCCAAGAAAAAGAGAACAATCTAGATATTTGCTTTGAGTGTTTACAATTCAATGTAAAAATGGTGGAGTTGAGTCACTTTCTCAATTGACTTACTGTCCTCAAAGTGGCTGTGGGTTAAGAATCATTAAGCAGCACCTTTCTTAGCACATAGCAAACAGGTTTTTTAATCCCAGGTTTGGGAAGAAGATTATTTTATTCAGTTGTGGTTTCTGCGGAATGTTAAGTGTAATAACAAGTGAAGGAGTATTTGTTTGGATGCATAGGGTATTATATGTATTTTTTGCTATTCTTAGTTGTTCTTTTCACTAAAAAATCAAGGATTTTGTGGGTGGAGTTGCAAGGGAGGAAAAGAAGGAGAGGAGGAAATGTGTTGGATAGACTTTGCAACGCAAAGAAATCCTATGGGGCATCTCCAAGGGATTTACAAACAAAAGCTACTGATCAGACTTTGTGGGAAGTGAACCGACTGCAGGGAACCAACTGACTTCCCCAAGGTCACTGGACACAGGAAAAACACTGGGAAGGTGCTGGAACAGTTACAGTATGCGAGCCATCTGCTTGAGCACATTTTTCTGCTCTCCTAGAGTTTTACCCACAATCCCCACAAGTCAGCTAGCCTCACACTGACTAACAAATTTACAAAGAGCTGAAGGTAGAATGGTTAATGTAATTCTTTGCTATCAATACAGACTGACATAGTCATACAGTGCAGGACTGAAAAATTAAAATAAAACCTGCTGCGAGAGTCCCACACCTCAACTATTAAACTCAGGGTGAAGACCTTTCATAGAGAAAATACAAACAATACTTTAAATTTTTTTCTATTCCTAATTACAAGTGATACTGAAATTCACAGGACGAAATCCAGATTTCAAACATTTAAAATTATATCACAGGAATGTTTTGTCATAAATTGGAAGAAGACAGGGTGAGCTGCTAATTAACAACTATGAACAAAGGAATGGAGAGAGGGGAAAGGGAAATTGGAGCACTCATGCTGCTACTGATTTTTGTTGTTGTTGTTAGACAATGCATTGGGGTGTTCTAGATGTGTCCAGTTCTTTCAATAAGAACTAAAGCAGAGCTTGAGAGAAGTGCTAGTGACTGGTGAGAATTCTGGTATGGAAGACAGAGATGAGTTCAGGATGATTTTTGCCCAACATCCAGGTGAAGGCAAAGTTTTAAAGAGTGGAGACAGTTCCTTCCAGTGCTTTCCTGGCTGCTGTTAACATTGCAGAGATCATGTGCTCATATTGCCAGAAAGCCACAACCTTCTCCTTGGGGCTGCTGTTCTTCTAGTCTGTCTTTAGGGTGATTAATTTGGGGAGCCTATTAACTGTGTCGCCAAAAGACCAGAGCTTAATGATTCAGAATCTTTCCCTTCCTCCCACAGAAGGGTAAAGGGTATTGATGAGATAAATTAATCCGCAGAGTATCTATTTATAGTATCAATACCCTTGTGATTATATTCTATGGGATACTTTGGAGAGTCTTTTAAAAGAGAGCAGCAGGGTAAAAGTAGGAATTTCAGGAGACCTGTGTCCTTCAGACAGTTGTTCAATGGTGTTTGCTTAAAAATCATTGCGATGTAGCAATGGGACACTTTGAATCACAAATGACGAGATTCGGGAGCAATAGTCTAGATGGAAATGAGAAAGATGTTGAGAGTATGTGTGAAGGGGAAGGAGGAGAAATTAATTTAATTCCATTTGCTGATGTGACTGTAGTTCAACTATTTTTAGGTATAATCCAAACAGTGCATATCGTCTCCATTTTGATTAGTAGCAAACTGGCAGAGAGTCAAAAGAATTAGTATTTCTCAGCACATTATGCCAGAAATACACAAATAAAGCTAAATTATCTGTGCCAATGTGTTTAATTTGAATTAAGTAAGGTTTTAATATGTTTTCCCTCAAAAGAACTAATGGGTCCAGCTTTGTCCACAAAACAAAGACGTTTTTTAAAAGCCTGCTCACAAAAGGCAGCAAAACTTAATGGAATAATTTTCCTTCAGATACTTGCTTAGAAGCCCTTGCTGAAAACCTTGCTGTTTTATTCTGATACTTTGGGTACAGCATTTCCGTCTGGCAATTTCATAGAACCAGAGGAAGCCCGTACATTCAACAAAATGTGAAATTAAAATAAGTTAGGAAAGTGTGCTTAACAAGGAAAGATTTCACAATAGCCACTTAGAAGTTATTCATAAGTCGAGCTGCAAAGTAAGCCAGGACCAAAAACCAAAAAAACCAACAAAAAACAGAAACTTGATTTGCAAAGGTTCATATAGGTGGGTTTGCAAGGGCCCAAGCCGTGTTCTCTACCAGGTTGTTTTTACAGTGGGGGGAGAATATATAGATGCTGGAATACTTTGATACACATTAGAGAACCTCATAGCCAGCCACCTAACGGTGGCATCTATTTTAGCAAATCGATGAATGGCAATCACATGGAAGGCTTTCATTTTAGGATTTATGCTTTTGGCATTTTGTTACGCAAACACAGGGTCCAGGTAGACCTCCTGTAAATCCACTCCTCTGCTCCTGTCATTTCTGCCAGGCGTTATCTCACCCAGTGAAACAGGATTGGCTATTTTCTCCTCCCACTGCCATGGCTACGCGGATTTGCAGTGTATTCCCACGTTTCTATTATAAATACATTTTTGTCTTCTTCAAAACCACAGTCAGTGCTGTTCACGGGTGGCTGCATCACGGTCTATTTCTGAATCCTGGAGTCCTGAGTTAAAGAACTCAAGGGATCACAGAAAAATCTTTTTTTTTTTTCTAAAAATACATAAAAGGGGTTTCTTCTAATTCACTAGAAAGTTTAGGCCGGTCCACTATGTAGTTAAATCATGTATCTACTGGTTTTCAAAAGATATTTATGATTTAATATATCTGAGGTTTGATGGGGCTGTCTGATGGGCTTGGGAAAAGAATTTTTTTTTTAATTTGAACATTTATCTAGACAAAATAACAAAATAAGTAATTGGGAAATCAGGAAGGGAAGAATTAATTGGCTATATCAGTGTTCATCGGCTGAAACTAGACATTAGGTATATTGCTTTTTCTAGTATAAAAAAATAAAAAGGAACAAAATGCACCTGATATTTTCACAGAGAGGAGTAGAACTGAATTGTTTTTACTTCCTAAGCATAGTGAGATTTTGTCCTGACATTGACTTTACATTCACTAAGATAAATTTAAGTATATTTACCATTTTATTTTTAAAGAAAATTGCCATCTTGCGCTGTTCCCCTCCCTTCTTTATTTTGTCAGAAAAAGAGGTTAAAAACTGTGTAGTGGTTTTTATGAAAACAGCTACTGTTCACTTATCTGGTAAATCTTCTTGTCTCTAAAACATCTATATTTTTAAACTTTGTCAGAAGACTGTCTGTTGGTCTTTAGACTATCCTACTGCAAAAGATAGATAATTAATCTTGACTTTCCCTGGTACAGAATAGTCTGTTCCTGTTGAATCTCAGTACAAGCCATACTCCATACGCTTCACTTTGGTTTCTTTACTGTACGATCATGAAATGAAATGTTTGTTTAAAAATACAAAGACAAACACTTACACTTATTTTGGAGATGTAGAACTAATCCCAGGATGGAATGTCACTAGACTTTCTTTAGGAAATAATTTTATGAAAAATATTCATAATTAGGAAGTTAAAATTTTTCACATTTGCTTTTACCTGTGACTTGCTCACCCAGACCTCTGCTGAAAGGTTCTATTTAATCACACAAGAAAAAATATTTCCTTAAGAGCCCTTTTATAAATTTTCGCTTAACCATGAAAGCGTTTGACATTCTGCGTACTTAACACTGGAGAAAAATCTGCACACTGATCATCTGTAATTTTACCGATTTCCAAGTAGGCAACTGATTGTTTACTGAGCTAGTCTTCTTCCCTGCATTTCTGTGCAACGTTGCAGCTGAGTTCTCAGTCCCAAGCACTTCTCTTAAGGAAGATACCAAATCCCAAATGTTCTTTCTTAAGCGTGGCAGATGGAGTCTTGAAAACACCTACAAGTCGCCTGAATATTGGAATTTGTCTGTGAAGATTTAGAGCCAGTCTGTAGCTCTCAGTAGGTACCTGCCTTATTTGGTCTAGAGGCATTTTGCTATGTTATTGAGTCATGAAAAGCTATTAAAAGAGCTCTATGGGAAATCCAGCCTATATTTTGAACAAAACAAACTGTCTTTCCCATCATGCTGACCACGTACAGACACACAGTACTTAATGTTGCTTGTGCTTCATTGGTATTTTATTGCACATGGACCAATTCCTCACACAGTAGTTAGTCGCACCAGAGTATAAATACTTGGTAAAACACTCGAGGAAGTAGAGTTTACACACAAGTGCTAAATTTGACCAGATTCACATGGGCACTTGGACATACAAAAATAATAAAAAAAAATTCTGAAGATAGTTATATGTGTAATATGGATACGATTACAGTACCATGATAAAAGAGAGTATAAAAGATAGCTTTCCAATAAATCATTAGCTCAATAACATAACAGACAGCAGAAGTAAAGTTGGAATTTTATTTTACTTTTTAAGATTCCCTCCCCCATTAAAAATATGTAATTTCTTTTTATATAAGTAATATCTTCTGTGGACTTTACAATTCCTAACACTGTGCAAAAATGGCATTTTAACCCACTCATTTTCTGTATTTTTATTGTTTGTTTTGACCCACATGTGCAGTAATCTGAACTGTTTTCTTTCTTTTTTTTCCTTTTCTGTCCTATCTTCAACGGACAGTCACAAGGTACAGAGACTCTGGTCCTTCCAGCTAATATTGAGACACAAATACGCTGTTTAATATAAACAAGTCTTCTATCTTGCTGTGCAATGTGCACAAAGTGAGGTAGAAACCCCCTCGGCCTGACCCTGGAGGCGCACGGGACAGCAGATTCGCCCTAGAAAAGGAAGGCAAGGTGAGGCTCGTGCAGAGAAGAGCTTAATATTCCCCCACATGTGATTCCTGCATTCATCCTTTCGCTTTGTTTTAAGAACAGGAGCAATCACTACTCTGCACTTACACTAAAATCTCTCTGAAAAGCAAAAGGAAACATGTCCTGACAAACTGTCACCCCTGCCCCCTCCTCTCTCCAGCACTACATCCCGGGGTGGGATGGAAGCCAAGCGAATGGACTGCTCTTCCCTCCTGCTTCTCCTATTCCCTCCCTGGTCCTTGCAGAAAGGGTCAAAACCACCGGAAAAAAAAATTCCAAAGATGTATAACACGACACACAAGAGAAAGCCGAACCACAAACAGAAAAAAGAATCCAAGAAAAACCAGTAAGCCACTCGCCCACCCCTCCCCAAACTTTCCTGTCTGTGCAACTGCGCTGGCTTCTGTCTCGGATGAATCGGACGAGGTTTGTGGGTTTCGAGTTCACCTGCTTTCCCTCTTGAGTAAACACAGATCTCCTTCCCCTGGAAGCGGGCTTTCTTCCTCCCTCCCGGGGCGCAGAGGCGAGTCCCGGCCAGGGAGGTGGACAGGTGGGTGGCGGCACCGGCGCTAGACCTTGGATTCGGAGGAGCAGCCAGCGCGGCTGGGCTCGTCCAGGCTCGAGTCGCTGTCCGCCGTCCCGCCGTTGCAGCCGGCCCAGGGCTCCAGCAGGCGCGCGGGGGGCGCGGCCCCGACGTCGTCGTCGTCGTCGTCGTCCGAAGGGGCTCCGGGCGACGGCGGCGGCCCGGCCACGGCCGGGCGGCCCGAGGCGCGCGACCGGTCGCCGGGGGTCGCGCGGCTCCTGCAAGCCGCCCGGCGAGCGCAGCAGAGCAGACGCTGGAAGGCCTTGCGAAAGTCGGGGCTGCGGCAGTAGATGATGGGGTTGAAGGCCGAGTTGGCGTAGCCCAGCCAGTTGAAGAAGACGAAGAGGCGATCTGGCACCAGGTCGCGATGGAAGGCTTTCACCACGTTGGCCAGGAAGAAGGGCAGCCAGCAGAGCGTGAACACGCCCATGATGATGCCCAGTGTCTTGAGCGCCTTCTGCTCCCGCAGGGCCACCAGGCGCGAGGGCCGCCGCTTGCTGGAGCGCCCATTCGCTAGAGGGGCGGCGGCCGGCCGCGGAGACCCGGGCGAGGGCGCCGGCGAGGGCGCCGGCGAGGGCGGCCGCGCTGGGCCGCCGAGGAAGCGGCGCTCGCAGCTGTCGATCTTCTTCACCTGCTTCTGGGCCTCGCGGAACACCCGCAGGTACACGAAGGCCATGATGCACAGGGGCACGTAGAAGGACACGACCGAAGAGGCGATGGCGTAGGCCCGGTTGGTGACGAAATCGCAACACTTGGGGTCGTTGTAGCAGCGGCTAGCCTCGTCGCTCTCCGCCCGCCACCAGTGCATGAGGATGGGGAGGAAGGACACCAGGGCCGAGATGGCCCACACGGTGCACACGAGGGCTCGCGCTCGCGCGCGGGTCAGGAGGCTCTGGTATCGGAAGGGCGACGTGATGGCAAGGTAGCGGTCCAGGGCGATGACACACAGGGTCTCGATGCTGGCCGTCACGCACAGCACGTCCACGGAGGTCCAGAGCTCGCAGAAGAAGGAGCCGTACTCCCAGCGGCCCCACACCACGATGGTGGCCCCGAAGGGGACCACCAGCAGTCCCATGACCAGGTCGGCGCTGGCCAGGGAGATGATGAAGAGGTTGGTGAGCGTCTGCAGCCGCGGCGTCTTGGCGATGGCCACGATCACCAGCACGTTGCCCACCACGATGAGCAGCACGATGAGCGCCATCAGCAGGCCCATGCCGGCCGTCCACTGCTGCGACAGCGACGCGGCGCTCTCGCTGGCCGGGGTCAGAAACGAGGCGGACGGCGACGCCGGCACCAGCAGCCGCGCCGCGG